ATACAGTGTAGTGTGAAACATCTTTCTAATGTCCTTGTGGGCTGCAGAATGATTATCAAACAAACAACTCTTGTGAGACAAAAAAACTAGCGTGACCAGTGTTGTCCAGCTGACAAACAAATGAATCTTATGAACCCATTCTTTTTAGTGAATCAAAACATACAGCACAGTTTAGTCCAACTGATCAATAAATGAGTCTTTTGAGCCAGTTTTTAGTTCATCAAAATGTAAAGTGCAGTGTAGTCTGATTACAGAACAAATGACTCTTATGAGCCTGTTCTTCTTAGTGAATCAAAAAATAAATGTAGTCTGATAACCAAACAAATGACTCTTATGAGATGGTTTCTTTTAGTAAATCAAATTCAGTGGCATGTAGTCCGATTGATGAATAAATGTTTCTTCTGAGCCTGTTTTTAATTAATCAAAATATACAGCACAGTGTAGTTCAACTAATGAACAAATGACTCTTTTGAGCCTGTTTTTAGTGAATCAAAATATAAAGTGCAGTGTACAGTAGTCTGATTATTGAACAACTGACTCTTATGAGTCTGTTTTTTAATAAATCAAAACATACTGCACAATCAGTGTGGTCCAATTGACAAACAAATGACTTTTATGAGCCCGTTATTTTCTGTGAATCTAAACATACAGTACAGTGTAGTTCAACTGACAAACAAATGACTCTTATGAGACAGTTATTTTTAAATCCGGTTAAAAAATATTTTCAAACGCATAGTCTGATTCATGAATAGATGACTCCTATGACCTGACTCTTTTAGTGAATTGTTCATAGTTAATTAAAAAAGACCAGAAGTTATCAGTTTGAATCAGTATGACGAATCCTGACAGAAGGATACTGCAGTTACTGAATCAACATCTGACTCACTGAACTGAATATTCAGTTGCAACCATATCAAAATGCCAAAAATGAAGAAAGATTTCTGTCATTATATATAAGCAATGTCAGCAATGATACATACATACTCAATGTTCTTCTTGTGTGTGTGTGTGTGTCTCAAAGGACCTCAGTAGCATTGGACTTAGTGTAGGATCGATAGCGGCTGTCTCTCCATTGCATGCTTTATCAACCATATGATCCTTTAAAACCAGGCACTCCCCCCCCACCCCCACCCCACACACACACACTCCCGTCATGAAGTTGCTGCTCTTCTCCCACCATTCCACACCAGTTGTCCACTCTGGCTCCCTGAGGAGAGCAGGCAATTCCAATATGGCTCAAACTCATTGAGCCATACACCCTAGCTACACTGCCAGACAAACACACACCGCGCACATGAGGCACGAATGGACAGAGACTGAGAACGAAACAGAAATACACCCAAACATCAGAGACTCAAGGATCAAAGATAGAGATTAATAAAGGAGAACAGCAATCAGCTTTCTTTTTTACTTTAAACACTTCATTCTGAACCATAAATGGGTGAAGGTGTCATAACCACAAAGGGTGTGTGGTATGGGTGATTTTTCAATTAGAGACAAAAAAATTTTTTTAACTTCTTAAATTTATATAAAAAAAAGTGTTTGAAAAGGGAATTTGTACTTTTCACTTTTTCCAAAGAACATAAACGTTATATTTTCTTTCAGTGATTTTGTCTACATTTTTTGTAATGAATAAATGAATACTTAAAAAAATACACTGTCCCCAATTTTGATGTCATTACGCCAAACATTCTACAGAGCGATTTTACAGAAAACAACTTTATATTTAGTTATTACAATTATTTAGTTAATAATAGAAGTGAGATATTGTAACAGTTTGAAGATCAGAAATGTAATCTTGCAGAAATATTTGTACCCCTTTATCAGGTACTTATTCCAATACATTTAACATGGTTTGAAGAAGTCAAGCAAAAATCACCCATATCTATGTGAATGTGCTGGGTCACGACAAATAATTCACATAGATGTCTAATGTGAGCAGACACATGAACATTTAGGGTAACAATTCTGTGATTCTTATCTATTTCCTAAGAACATAGTGAATCTCCTTGGCACAGATCACAATACAGTTTATGTTATGTAAGTCCAAAAATGAAAGAATGCAGGAGGCCCACTTCCTACAGACAAGGAGTGGCTTGCTGCCACTGTGTCTCTTGCTCTACTAATGCAAATGTCACCGTATCATCACCTCATGGCTATTACAAACTCGTCCTCACACTACAGTTCTCTTTCAAGAAGACAAACTGCACTTGCCCGTTTTTATTTCACTTTTTGTATTGTAATTAGACAGTTCAAAAGTTAGACAAGATTCTGCTGTAATATGTGACACACCTGGGTTACTGTGCATGTAAATGCAAGTCTACAGTGTTTCAAATAACACTGGTATGAAGTATGATAATATGGTATCATGAAGTATGGTATGAAGAAATAATCAATGGTATGAAGCATGTTTTGTTTTGACAGAATGGTTTGAAGGGGGCAGGTTAAAGCTGAGCATGACCAGGCCTGTTTGCACCCGATTTTATCACCCATCTCAGGTGTTCCATTACGGAAAAATGTTTTTATATTGGCCATGTATTAGCGACAATGTTTAATACCCTTGTTTTAGCACAATGGATGTCTGACACTTGCGTATGCAAACTTTTATTAAACAACATATTAGCATTTACACTAAGAATGCAGTTTTGTAACATGCGTTTCTGCCTACCTTCAAATGTGGTTTGAATCATCGGATCACAAAGCGTTTTGGACCCCGTTTAGACCTGAATTTAGACCTGACCACTCCCCCCTCTTTCCTGTTCCAAAATTACACAGAATTTCCCCAAGTGGAAGGGTCCACCTTACCAACTTTTGTGGGCGGAGACAAACTGAGCTCTTTCCTGAACCACATCCTCTCAAAATGAGCTAAACCTGCATTTCCACCTTGACTTGTCACTGCTAACCTGGGATTTCCAAACAGATCCGCTCCACTTATGGTTTCCTCCACATCACTCCCTTTTACTTGAAATAATTTCATTCTAATTTTAATTATAACTGAAGTTATATAACTGAATTGATACAGAGAGCGTGTTGAAACTGATATCACTAAAGGACAGCGGTGAACGCTTGACCGCGTGTGTTCTCTGAGGAAACGAGGAAGGAAGTCTGTATATATGTGTATGTGAGTGAGACAGAAATAGAAAGAAAGGTGTCTGCATTGAAAATGAGCCATGTGACCTTTTGAAACTGTGTATATGAGACATCTACATGCAGCTCTTGTTGGTGATATCTGTGAGTGTGTTTCTCTGGGGCTGTCCCTCTACACAGGCAGTGGTTAGAGCTCAGGAAATGGTTACAAGAAAGAAAAATATATAACAGAAAAAAACAATCTTGAGCTGTGAACACGCTCATCTAAACACATCAAATTTCATAGAATTCTGAAAACTTTCAATGGGACTTCCTCTAGTCCATTAATATGCTAGTGGGCACACATTTGTGTGGAAAAAAATACACGGTGCAATATATGAAAAAAAATACATAAGAAATTATAGGCCTAGAGAAAACATTAAAAAAATATTGTTGAAAAAAATACATAATTTCTCGAGTTACAGGACACTTTGTTCTTTAAATGTGTTGTAGACTGTACTGTATATTTACTGTATGCAATTGTATGTTAATGCATTAATCATAAACACTGGATCTCGGCCTAAAGTAGCACATAGAGCCCAGTAGACAACAATTAAAACACACTCCATGAAATCTCTCATACACATCCAAATGCACCAGTCCTTGCCCATATGGATCCATTTTGGATGATGATACTGAGTAATTCTGACTGCGTTGTTAGCTGTTGGGATTAGCACGAACCAGAGGGAAACCTTACTCTCTGATAGGACATGAATAATGAAGAACACCGACTCAGACTCAAAACACTTTCGCACAGACACCGAGAGGCTGTTTAACTCGTAAGAGTGGGTCACAGCGCCTCCTACAGGCTAATCTAATGCAGGTGGGGGGAAATCATGATTGACGTTGAGGCTTCAATTTTATTTGCGGATATTATCAGCAAAAAATATTTTGCATAATCCAGAATAGAAATTCTAAAGGATTTTATTTTTATTTAATTATTTTTTGGTAAACTATGCCCTTTAGCTATTTTTGAATGACATACACTGAGGCAAATGTCGAAATTAAATGGCCTGTTTTGATTTTGAACATTATGTACAACAAGCTCTTTATGTCCTGTAGGTCATTATATACAAAATTAGGTCATTTTTGACGAAGATGTATCTCAGTGTTTCAAATGTAAGAAATATTCGTCCTTTCTTCAAATAAAGATGATTTCTGCCAAACTGTAGGGTTTTAACTGAGGCTACTGCACAAAAGATAAACGAGTCCCTCATTAATTCATATAGCGTGTATATTTCAGTTCTGCCAGTCACTACGAATATTTTAATAGCCACTTGCCTGTTCTTTAAACAGTTCTAGTATTAACCGCAACTCCTTATTTACGTTAAGCGAACTTTACACATTACAGACAAGTTAAACATGTCCAAATTCAAATAAGGAGCTCAGAAGCGAAACTCTATGCCTGGCCTGCAGATAAAGATTTTCTGGTTTCTGGTGTGCTGAGAAACTTGTAAAGACTAGAAAGAAAACTTCCAACCTAGTACAGATCAGGAATATATATGACATTTACAGGCCATTTAAAGCAAAACCGCCTACTATGCAGCTTTGAAATTTGAATAGCTCTGATTTAAAGAAATTCTCCGTTTTTAAAGATCCCTTTGTATATATTTGTTGCAGAGAAAGATTTAGGTTTGCACAGGGACATTTGATTTTGCATTGATGGGACATAGCTGCAGGTTCAATGGAATTGGGGTAATAGCAAATATTGCATCACGCTCAGAGACGGGTGTGCACTAACAGCATGTCTGGAATGCACATTTGCATACAACCCCTTCTTATGCCACAAACTGAAGATATGCAAATTATGCCCTGTGATGCAAATCACACCCTCTCATTTTTTTCCCCCACTGTAGATGAAAGAACAACACCAGTGACGTTTTACAGCATTGTATTGTACAATTTTACATATTAGTTTGTACAAACGTTTAACAAAAAAAAAAATTGTTGTCCTGATCTGGTGAGCAAAAAAAAAAGCAAAAACTCATGGTTTTTAAATGACCAAATGGTTGTAGTGGCTGGGTAAACTTGTGTGGGGGTGAAAACCCCTTGAAACTGAGGTTTTAATAAAGGAAAAGGGATTGGGGTGTTGATGGTCAGAGTTTGGTCCGAGTCCAATGGCTTAAGATTCAGTGACAGGCTTCAGGGTCGAAGTCCAGAGGTCGTGCAGGTTTAGGAGCGGGTGTATTTGCCCCAGATGTGCAGCATGAAAACAGAGGCGATAAAGAGCAGACTCATCACTAAAACTGGTACCGGACCACTGCAACAAGGGAGAAAGAGAAATCAATGGAATTACTGCCAAATCTCATTAGGATCCTTAAAAAAAAAAAATTATATATAGAGTCCAGAGGTCATGCAGGTTTAGGTGCGGGTGTATTTGCCCCAGATGTGCAGCATGAATACAGATGCGATAAAGAGCAGACTCATCACCAAAACTGGAACCGGACCACTGCAACAAGAGAGAACCAGGAATAGATGTAATTACTGCCTAATCATTATTATGAACATTAAAAATGCCATTATGAACATTAAAAAAAACTAAGTCAGTAAGACAGAGGGATCCCATATATATATAGGATAGTCTAAATTCAGTAACTATTTCTCAAATTTCAGTTACAATAAGAGGGGAGATTTAAATAAAAAAGTTCAGCACAAATTTCCTCCCAGTGGACCAATCAGGGTTGCTCGTCTTGATCATGTGATAGAAGACGGGGTAATTAGGATTCTAAATGCTGGCGAGTCGGATACTGTTAACGAGCTAGTCAGAAAATGTGGGGCTTTATTAAAGCAGGAACTGACCATCCCTTGGGTTGCTATGCAGCCGCGTAACCATGCCGACTGAAGGTCCACCCCTCAGGCTTTAATTGATGTGACCTTTTCTGCAGGAACTTTAATTAAGCTCAAAACACACAGACACACACCAAAGCTAAAGAGTGAAAAATACTTCACACACAACTCCACACAGGCTCTCCTACTCTAAGAGACTCTTGACTGTAAATACTGCCACTGTAGACACTCAAATCCATTCAAACATGCTCAGCTAATGCGTTCGTATGGAATGAACAGATGTAACACTACCTATGTAAAACAGTGCTTTAAAAACAAAAACGTGCAAAAAACGCTCCAGAGGAAGACACTATTATAGAAGTTAGCTGCGGAGAGCGAATGGCTCTAAATACAGCACACACACATGTACACAGCTGTAGGAGGGGAAACGGCAGGGGAGACATCAAATAAAGACGGAGGTTGAGCCCATGAGGCCAATTTCCTGTCGTTAAAATTTCATGTTTATCCTTATAAATGCTAAACCTCCCAGAAACCTCTGCCCCTCCCTTTCATGTCACTTCCTGTTGAGCTGAGGGGATGAATTAAAAATGAGCGTCTGTGTTGGTTCTTTGCACATTAAGTATCTCAAATCGTAACCTTAGTTTGTCCTTAAATTAAACAATAAAATGCAATAAAAAAAATTTGTAAAAAAAAAAAAAATCATAATGACTAGCAATAAAAAAGGAAAAATACAGACTGCATATGAGAGCATTACATAATATCAAAATATGATTTTATTAAAAAAAAAAAAAAAAAAAGCACCGATTTAATAATCTGAAAAAGAAAATCTCTGTAATTCAACAATTTTTAATCTAAATTGGCTGTTTAAATTCCTTCTTTATTTCTGCAGTTTATTTTCAAATACATGCCAAGTATATATCTGAATAATAATGTTTCCCCAACAGTACTCACGTCACTGTTTATAAGAATTTTATTAGGAAAACCCCTGCTAAGCAAATAAATAAAATTTTCTTATTCAAGTTTGAGCATGTTTAGGCTCGCAAAAATGCAATTCACTTTGGAGAACAAATATAGCTGCAAGCAGCGATGACGGGCCCAAGCCACGAGTGCAGCCACCACCCCGGTGGCATCAGGAAAACGGTGCACAACGGGCACATGCATTTACAGTAACCCTCTGGCAGTCTGGTTTTAAGGGTTACAGCAATGAAAGGGTTACACTATAACATCAAGAGTGTGAAACACAGACACACACACACAAAGAGAGAGAGAACAATATACAAAACTGTGGTAACACTTTACAATAAGGTTTCAGTTGTTGTTAATTTTATTATTAAAATGTAAAGTTGCATCTGTTAAAATTAGTTAATGTACTGTGAATTAATGAACATTTTTATTAACTAACATCTACAAAGATTAATAAATGCTGTAAAAATATATTGTTCATTGTTAGTTTGTGTTAGTTTATGCATTAAAGTGTTACCAAAACGTTTAATGATCTATAAGCATTTGTGAAATAATTATATAATAAAACCATATTACCAGTAGAGTACATATTAACTTATTTTATGTATTTGTTCATCAATCTAACTAATTGAACTGAGCAGTAAAAGATCAGGTAGGGCTGGGCGATTTTGCAAAAAATTTAAATCTCGATTTTTCCAGAATGTTTGACCGATTTTCAATTTTTTACGATTTTTAACTAGACAACTTGAAAATGTAACTACAACATGATTCAAGTTACTTTTTCTTTATTAACCCTCTAGTTAAAGAAAATTATATTCCAAGTGCAGCACACATGAAGTTGTCAACATGATGTAAATGTTAAACAAATCACTTGTTAAATATCTTTGCAGAAAAGATGCAAAAACTACAACTACATATTGTACAAACTTGTCTTATACAGATTATGTGTTCAGAAATGAGAAATTCTTTTAGAAAATCTCAAAAGTCAAGGAGCTGCTGAAACAGTTCTACTCAGCCGTCATTGAGTCTGTACTGTGCACTTCAATAACTGTCTGGTTTGGTTCAGCAAAAATAAAATAAATAAAATATAAATTCAATGCACACAGACTGAAGTAGTTTAAGTCTTTGGTTCTTTTAATTGTGATGACTTTGGCTCACATTTAACAAAAACCCACCAATTCACTATCTCAACAAATTAGAATACTTCATAAGACCAATAAAAAAAAACATTTTTAGTGAATTGTTGGCCTTCTGGAAAGTATGTTCATTTACTGCACATGTACTCAATACTTGGTAGGGGCTCCTTTTGCTTTAATTACTGC